TAATTATATATATATATATATATATATATATATATATATATATATGTCATAGTGGTCAGAGACGTTCATAGAAATGATGAAATAAAAGTTAAAATAATATTTTAATCCTTCACCTCATCCTTTAATCCCAAAATTCCTATATTGTATAATTAATATAATTAATTAATTAATATTAATAATATATAAATTTTATCGAAATATTATAATTATTATCAATTATATAATATAATTTTTTTTTATTATAATATTTAAATTTATTTATAATAAAAATAATTTATTATATTCCTTTATTATATTATATTTATTTTTATTATATAAAAATGTATATTTTCTTTATATGTATATTTAATATATATATATAAATATATATTATAAAAAATAAATATAATAAAAAGATACAATAAAAATCAATGAAAAAATTATTTTTAAAAAAAGGAGATGTAAAATCCCCCACCCCATAATAATTTAGGTTATTAACTATGAAATGTCTGATTACTCGAATTATTTTCATTTCGAAATCAAACATTTCATATTTAATGACCTAATATTTAAAATAAATATAATAAATTTATAATAAAAACCTATAAAACATATTATGAAACAAATATTTATAAAAAAGAAATTATATAAAATCCAAAACCTACTTCTCTAATTCCCAAAATTTGTATATACAATATTATATAATAATAATATATAAAAATATTACATATTTTCTTTATATATATATATACTAGGGGTTCTTCGCCACGCATTGTTGTGGCTCACAATCAGTCCGATACACACGTCTGTAAGTCAACGAATTACTTTATACCGACATTTGTTAAAATCTTATTGAACTAACAGAGATAATCATGACTTCTTGTTAATAAACAAATAATATTGCGATTATAAATTAAGATATAAACTATCCTATCTTTCAAGTTAGATGAAACTGCATACAGTGTGCAAACTTTTATTAAAATCGGTTCAGTAGTTTAGGAGTCCATTGCAGACAAACAACGTGACACGTACTTTATATATATTAAGATGTATATAAATATAATAAAAGTATAGTCAAAATTTGTAAAATATTATAAAATGATGAAATATAAAATAATATTATAATCCCTCGGTTCATCCTTTAATTCAAAAATCCCTAAATTACATATATATGTATATAAACAATTTCTCATTCCTATAATCTATTATATATAATATAAAAAGTAATATATAAAAATGTTTATATTTTATATATATGTAATAAAAAAATAATAAAAACCTGTAAAACATATGATGAAAGAAATATTGTTAAAAAAAAAAAAAAATGTATATATAAAATCCCCCACCTCCTCCTCTAATCCCAAAGTTCCTACCGTTCATATAAACATGATGCTGTCGCCAAAGATGTTGATACTGTGTCCATCTTGAGCTAGTACTATCATCATGAATCGGTGGTAAAGGTGCATGAACCTGATGACCATGTGAAGTTGGTGGTAAAGATTGTTGTTGTTGTTGTTGTTGCTGAGCTTGATTTTGTTGCTGTTGTTGTTGAGATTGAGATTGAGATTGAGATTGTGGTTGAGATTGTTGTTGTTGTTGTTGTTGTTGTTGTTGATGAGCTGGTGCAACAACAATATGTGGATGTGGTGGATGGGGTGGTGGTGGTGGTTGGTGTTGTGTTTGTGGATGATGTGCTTGATGTAGCACCCCAGTTGGTACCGGTGGAGGTGCCAATTGTTGATACTCCATAGCGCAACTCGTCATTCGTTTATTTCACACGCACATTTATCAAACCAATAATTATTTTTGTGTTTTCTTTTTATAACAGTTTGTAAAATTGTTCCTTTTTTTTGTGTCCAACTATTTTGTTTTTGTTCAGTTTTGTTGTCAAAAAAAAAAAAAAAAGAAAACCAAAAATTGTCTTCAAACTGAGGTTTTTTCTTTTTCTTCTCTTTTGACACTTTTGATTCTAATCTTCAAATTTTTAACACACAATTTTATTTGTTTGTTTTTTTTCTCTTTTTTTTTTTTTTAAATTCAAATATGAAAATAAAATAGAATGAATTTTTAGTTTGTGAGTTTGTTTTTTTTTTAAGAGAGAAATATGAAATACACAATTGTTATTAATTTTTGTTTGTAAGCTTGAAAGAAGAAGAAGAAGAAGAAGAAGAAGAAGTGACACTACCGAGGCTTCGTCCTTGAACTTCCTCTGATTGCTTTCGATCGATACACACGCACATCTACAATAAATTTTATCTACATATATACATATGTATATATATATATATATATATAATTTGTAATATTTGTATAAAATACACGCACAATATATTACCTTCTCTCTCTTTCTTATTGTTTTCTTTTTTTTTTTGTTTGAAATGTTAAATGTCCAAATGTTAAATGTCCAAATGTCAAATGTTGTTTCCTAATTACTTTTAAGAAAAAACCAAAAAAAAAAAAAAAAAGTTTGAAAACACCAAATGAAAAAAAAAAAGAAAAAAAACTATGATCGAAAATTATTGTTTCAAAAATAACAAATTAATTTTTTTTTCTTGTAATAATAAAAGACTTCTTTTTTTTTTTTTTTTGTTGAATAAAAATAGGAAACGAGATGAGAGGAAGATTAAGAGATAAGAAAAAACTGTTCGTAGTACTAGTAATAGTAGTAGTAGTATAAAACGATTAAGTATACCGATCGAAAGTGAGAATGAAGAAATATAGAGACCCGAGACGCGAAACGACGCGCTCGGTTCGACGGTCGTCGACAAACTGGAAAGGAGCGGGGAATCCTCTTGGCAGTAGTCACACACCGCACTGTTAGAGTAGTAGAGTAGGGTGATTTCCTTATTCGTGTCGAGTAGTTTAGTTATTCATAGACAACACAATATTTTATCGAACCAATATATGAAACGAAATTACTAATTCGTATGTAATTATAATAAGACTTTTATATTTTTTTTTTTTCTAAATGTTCAGTAGAATAATTTTGTAATTATTCGTGTTGAATAATTTGTTCGTAGACATTAACATTTTACAGAACGAATATATCAAACAATATTACTAACTCGTATGATATTAAAGAATATTATTTTTTGTAGGGTTTTTTTTTTTTTTAACATTTAATATAATAATCCAGTACGACTGGAGTCATTTCATAATTATTATACTAAAAAGCTATATAAAGTATGCTATATATATATATATATATAAGTATACTGTACTATATAAATATTATAAATATGCTATGCTATAATATACTTTATAGTATACTATATAGTACTTGTATGTATACTATACTATACTATATCATACTATTTAGTATACTATGTAGCACTCATAAGTTATACTATACTATGAAATACGATGTAGTAAACTATACTATACTATACTATACTATACAATACAATATAAATACTATATATATACTATACTATAATATATTATATAGTATACTATATTGTACTCATAAAGTATACTATACTATACAATACTATATAAATACTATATATATACTATACTATACAATACTATATAAATACTATATACATACTATACTATACAATACTATATAAATACTATATACATACTATACTATAATATACTATATAGTATACCATATAGTATACTATATAGTACTTATAAAGTATACTATACTATACTATGAGATACGATGTAGTATACTATACTATATTATGAAATACAATGTAGTATACTATACTATACT